GCAAGGCTGGAAAAGTGGATCCAGGGATGCTCTCATGCCATACACCTGCTCTTGCACACAGAATCCTAGCAGATCCAGGACAGGGAATCTTCCCCTTATCTGCTCTGATCTCTTAGGAGGAAGAGATCCTCCTTCTTCACCCTCATCAGACTCCATTCACCAAAGTGCCAGCTCCACTTTTCAAAAGCCCTCTTAAAAGTGAAATTTCTGTTTGAGCCCAAAACACTGCCAGCGGCACAGGGAATTACATGTAAACCTTTGAAGGTCTCTTCCCAAATCTGATTTCTATGTGAAACTAAGTAGGAAGGCATGTTGAAAAGAAAAGCCCCCAATAAATATCTGCCCCATAGTCTGTGCTTCTATTGTAAAAAATATTTGGGGTACTCTCATTCCGTCTGAGACTCAGGAAACACCGTGACTGGAAATGAGGCCGCCATCGGGGGCAGCAATGGAACTGACGATTCACCGTGCTAGAGAAGAAACTGCAAATTTCTTCTCCCTTTAGATTCACAAAATGTGTAGGGGTATGCGTCCCCCTGCGTCCCCCCAGGAAAAAAGCACTGCCCATAGTCAATCACTTCCTACCTTCCCTGGTCTGTGAATCGATTTAAAGGTAAAGGGACCCCTGACTGTTAAGGCCAGTCAAGGACGACTCTGGGGTTGGGGCGTTCATCTCGCTTTCAGACCGAGGGAGCCGGCGTTTTTCCGCAGACAGTTTTTCTGGGTCATGTGGCCAGCAGGACTATGCCGCTTCTGGCGAACCAGAGCAGTGCATGGAAACGCCGTTGACCTTCCCGCCGGAGTGGTACCTATTTATCTACTTGCACTTTGACGTGCTTTCGAACTGCTAGGTTGGCAGGAGGAGGGACCGAGCAACAGGAGCTCACCCCGTCACGGGGATTCGAACCACCGACCTTCCGATTGGCAAGCCCTAGGCTCTGTGGTTTAGACCACAGCACCACCCACATCACAAATCGATTTACTTAAAAGGAACTTACCAAAAGCTGAAGAAGCTGAGCAGCTGAAGAGAGGAGATCTTCAAAAGCACTGGTGGAAAAGCCCTACGCGCTGAGCCCTTTTATACAGTTTCTCTCTGCAATTGGAGCAAATACTTTGGTGCAGCATCACTAATTTGGCTAAGTATGGGCCACCTCCACTTTTGGGACTGAACGTTCCTCGCCACTGAGACTCCATCCGACTGCAATGTCATGTGTTCCCATAAATTACCTGCCTTGTCAGCCTCCTCCTTCTCTCAAGGCAACGCTTCGCTTTCTTTTAACTCGGGTTCACCTTGGGTAATGTTCTTCGCATTCCTTTTAAAGGAATTTGGGGCATATTCTTGACTCAACCCTCCTTTAGGACCTATGGCTTTGCACCTATGAACACACAGGATGTTGCAATCGCAGGTGAAGCACATTTTCTCCCTCAAAGGACACTGGCCCCTCCAGATTGCTAAGGGTGCTGGGAAGCAGAGCTCAGAGCGGGAGCACCAGCCAAAGCTTTGCAAAGCAAGTCCCGACAGCAACCATGAATGGAGCACCCCAGAAGGGGGGGGGGGAATGGGCCCAAGGAGCTCCCATGACGCACACCTGATCTTTCAAACATAGGCCATCCAGATCCAGAACAGGACACACACACACACACACACACACACACACACACAGCCAGCCTGCAAGTTCTGCTCTGTTGGGAGCAAGAGATCCTAATTCTTCACCCTCATCTGTTTCCACCCACAAAAGTGCCCAGCTGCACCTTCCTTCCTTCCTTCCTTCCTTCCTTCCTTCCTTCCTTCCTTCCTTCCTTCCTTCCTTCCCTCCTTCCTTTTTTCTTTCTTTCTTTCACGCACGTATTTATTTACAAGATGTTACAACCAATAAAAGTAATTTATTATTTGTACCCTGCCCATCTGGCTGGGTTTCCCCAGCCACTCTGGTGGCTTCCACAGAGACCAAAAATACACTAAGATGTCACACATTAAAAACTTCCCTGAACAGGGCTGCCTTCAGATGTCTTCTGAATGTCAGGTAGTTGTTTATCTCTTTGACATCTGATGGGAGGGCGTTCCACAAGGCGGGCGCCACTACCGAGAAGGCCCTCTGCCTGGTTCCCTGTAGCTTTGCTTCTCGCAATGAGGGAACCACCAGAAGGCCCTCAGTGCTGGACCTCAGTGTCTGGGTAGAATGATGGGGGTGGAGACGCTCCTTCAGGTATACTGGGCCGAGGCCGTTTAGGGCTTTCAAGGTCAGCACCAACACTTTGAATTGTGCTTGGAAACGTACTGGGAGCCAATGTAGGTCTTTCAAGACCGGTGTTATGTGGTCTCGGCAGCCGTCACCAGTCTAGCTGCCGCATTCTGGATTAGTTGTAGTTTCCGGGTCACCTTCCAAGGTAGCCCCACATAGAGCGCATTGCAGTAGTCTAAGTGGACTGTTGGTTATTTCTAAGAGTCTAATGAGAAGTGTAAGCTCAAATTTGAGTGAAATTCCTTGGGAGCGCAAAAGAGTCCCAGGGGCACAGCCAGGAGGTGACCCCTTTTCTATGGTTCCTCTTGGCCCTGGAAGCTAATCGTTTGGCCTGGCGGTAGTAATCTGGCTAAGTATACCCAACCACAGCTCAGAATTTGGCCAGAATATTCCTAGCCATTAAGACACCTCTTGATGTAATGTTTTCAGAGATGTTATCTTTCATGCCAGGCTCCTCCTTGGCACCAGCAGCTGCTTTGATTTATTTTGGCTCAGCTTCATCTGGGATGTAATTTGTGTTTCTTTTAATGGGATTCGGTTACCCCCGCACCCGTCCCCAAATCCTTCATGCTTCTGAAGCGCCACTTTTGGAGGTGAAGTCATGACAGTTACAGGTACACTATACCTTTCAAGCAGATTTCACCCCCGAAAGAACTCTAGATTGATAAGGGTGCTGGGAATTATAGTTCTGTAAGGGGGAAACTGTTGTCTTTTTCCATGGAGTTTTCTTGGCAGGGATACTGGAGTGGCTTGCCGGTTCCTCCTCCACGTGGATCACGTTTGGTCAAAACTCTCCTCTATGATCTGTTCATTTTGGGTGCCCTGCTCGGCATAGTTCATATCTTCTCTGAGTTATTCAAGCCCCTTTGCCACGGCAAGGCACTGATCCATGAAGGGGAGTGATCCATGAAGGGAAACTACCTTGCCAACAAAGGTCCGTATAGTCAAAGCTCTGGTTTTCCCAGTAGTGATGTATGGAAGTGAGAGCTGGACCATCAAGAAGGCTAATCACCGAAGAATGGATGCTTTTGAATTCTGGTGCTGGAGGAGACTCTTGAGAGTCCCATGGACTGCAAGAAGATCCAACCTCTCCATTCTGAAGGAAATCAGCCCTGAGTGCTCACTGGAAGGACAGATCCTGAAGCTGAGGCTCCAAGACTTTGGCCACCTCATGAGAAGAGAAGACTCCTGGAAAAGACCCTGATGTTGGGAAAGATGGAGGGCGCAAGGAGAAGGGGATGGCAGAGGACGAGATGGTGGGACAGTGTTCTCGAAGCTACCAGCATGAGTTTGACCAAACTGCGGGAGGCAGTGGAAGACAGGAGTGCCTGGCATGCTCTGGTCCAGGGGGTCACGTAGAGTCGGACACAACTGAATGACTAAACAACAACAACAACAAGGGGAAAACTACATGCCGTTTTAGAGCAGACACTCCTTTTCTAAACAGCCTTTTAAGCGGGTATCTTTATCTGTTTTGGATTTGAAATGGTTTTGATAAATAGGATGACATTTAATTTGTCGAAGGTTGAAGTCCAACAGATACCCTGTACATTTCTTGCCCGATCCTGTTACCCAGATGGTACAAGTGCCAAAATGTTCTGTCGCTGTTGTTGGGCCTGATGATGGTGACATTTTTGAAGCCATAACTTCTAGTCCTAATTCCTAATTGCAACAGGGTGGCCGTCCTTAGCCTTTTAATTACCTGAAATGAAAGCAAGTTAATTGACTCCAAGTAGGAAATGTTCTCCATCGACTCTCCTGAAGGCAAAGAGCCTGCTCCAGAACATTCCACCTTTGCACTTAAAGCCCTCAAGACATTTTCTCCAACAGCGCAATAAGGCTTTGGCCTTCCTGCTTTTGCAATGGCCTTTCGTTCAAAGCAGCAGGAGCCCATCAACTTGAGTTCACACTTGGAAAGAGATTCATGAATGTCAGGCACTTCCAGCTACAGTAAGATTACACTACGTGGATTCTGCGAGGCATTTGATTCATCTCAGTCGAGGATACCTGACTCCTCAGCCTCACATTTAAAAAGCCAGATTTAGCTATTTGTCCTGTTTGGATTTACTGCCACCACCACTCCAGCTCACTCTGAATGCTTTCCAAACCTCCTAGAAAGATGTCTTTGGCATGAGCTGAACCAGGGCCGTCTTACGTATATCTGGCGCGTGGTGCAAAGATCCCTCCGGCACGGCCCCCTTTCCCAGAGTTGCCAACCTTTTTACGGAGATGCCGGCAGCTTTGCGGGGCTGGAGGAGGCGGGCAGCAGCCGGAGGGCGGCTCCTCCGGTGGGAAAGAGGCAGAGGTTCTAGGCATGGCGCTGCTTCAGCGAGACGGGCGAACCAGAGCAGCGCACAGAAACGCCGTTTACCTTCCTGCCAGAGCGGTACCTATTTATCTACTTGCACTTTGATGTGCTTTCGAACGGCTAGGTTGGCAGGAACAGGGACCGAGCAACAGGAGCTTACCCCGTCACGGGGATTCGAACTGCCGACCTTCTGATCGGCAAGCCCTAGGCTCTGTACTTTAACCCACAGCGCCACCCGCATCCCATTCAAGGGATAATATGTACCAAAAGGAAGGTGGATACTTATGCTGTGGCCATCATGGCAGTTCCTGTTCTGAAGCCTCGAGAGCAGTGGTGGAGCGTGTCTCCTGGTGCCCAGGACGGGTGATTGTCGGTGGGCCTAGGGTGGGAGGAAGGCAACGTGAGGAAGATGAAGCAGGAGAGGCAGGTGCCTTCCATTCATTGTCCTCAGACTGCTCCCTCCCTCCCTCTTGGCCATCCAGGGCAGGGATGCCTTCACAGGCCATGAGGAGAAGGAGGAACTCCAAATCCCATAAAGAGGAACACGAAGAACTTCCAAGATGAAGCTGAGCCAAAACAAAGCAAAGCAGTTTCCTGAGCCAAGACGTCGCCTGACATGAAAGATAGCATCTTAGAATTGGGTTACATGGTCTGGGAGGGTGGCCAGGAGCATTCTGGTAACATCTAGACTTGACTGGGGTGGGGTATACTTAGCCAAATTAGTGACGCCATGTTGCCCGAATAGTCCAGAGAGAAACCGTATAAAAGGCTTTTCCACCAGTGCCTTGAAACATCTCCTCTCTTCCGCCACTCGGCTTCTCCATCACTTGGTAAGTTGTCTTGAACTGAATCACTTCTTAGAGGAGAGAAGGAAGGAACTGTTTGATTATGGAGCAAAATAATTTTGAAATTTGGTTCTGCAAATTGAGAGACAAGAAGCAGTTTGGGGAAGAGAAACTCAAATCTCTACATCCAAGGAGTTGTGCTACTGGGATTGTTTAGGGCTCAACATAAAATTTTAACCTAGAGTTGTATTGGGGCTTTTAGAAATGCGAAACTGGGTACTTTCATGGCTGGAGGTCCAGCTCTGAGGGCCTTCTGGCGGTTCCCTCATTGCGAGAAGCAAAGCTACAGGGAACTAGCCAGAGGGCCTTCTCGGTAGTGGCGCCCGCCCTGTGGAACGCCCTCCCATCAGATGTCAAAGAGATAAACAACTACCAGACATTTAGAAGACATGTGAAGGCAGCCCTGTTCAGGGAAGTTTTTAATGTGTGACATTTTAATGTATTTTTAATCTTTGTTGGAAGCCGCCCAGAGTAGCTGGGGAAGCCCAGCCAGATGGGCGGGGTACAAATAATAAATTCTTCTTCTTCCTATTATTATTATTATGGAGCCAGCTCAGGAAAAACAGATAATCAGCAGCCGTGGTCCTGAGTGGTTTTGCAAAACCTTGCCTAGTGTCCCTGTTCCCTGTCTTTCTGGAGAAAGCTGCTCTGGCCATGGTCAGACCTGCTGCCCCTGTTGCATCTCGACTGGATTACTGAGACTCAGGGCTCCCTTGTTCCGGCCACACTGACCCTTTCTTGCATGAGGCAGGTCTGGCAGAGCCAGGTGCTCCCCTGAAACCCTGGAAAGGGAATCCTTCTTTCTGGTGAAGAGAGGTGGGGAACCTCTGGCCCTCCAGACATGGCCAAACTACAGCCCTCGTCTCCTCGGCTTCCTGCAGCTGCTGAGATTTGTAGTTCAGATTCAAAGCGTTCCCCATTCCTGCTCTAGGGACGACCCTCGGCTAGAAGGTCGGACACATTAAAAGGAGCTCCCTGTCTTCTGAATGTAATACAGGGTACAGATTGGGTCACCGGACCTAAAAAAATATATCGGAGAGTGGAAAAGGGCAGGAAGAATGATCAGGAGGATGGAGCTATGAAGAGAGTTTGCAGTGTTTGGGTGTTTTTGGTTTTGGGGGAAAGTGAGTAAGAGTCATGATGATAGAAGTTTATAAAAGCAGGCAGGGCATGAGGAAGTTGAACAGAGAAAGGTTTTCTTCCTCTCTCATAACATTAGGATTCCTGGACAGCCAATGAAGCTGAAATGTTGGAAAATTTGGACAGAAAGGACTTCTTCACACAGAACAGAGTCAAACTGGGCAAGTCTTTCCTATGGGAGGCAGTGAAGGACAATGTGATGGCCTGGGATTCAGACTCAGAGGCTGAACCTGAAGAATCCCAGCCCGCACAGGAGTCCCCGCCTCCAGAACCAGCTGAGCCGGGGCTGGGGCTGAGCCTGAAGGGTCCTCACCTGTGCTGGATCCTCAGGTGCAGGCACCAGCCGAGTCTGCTCTGGCCCCTGAGGGAATGGAGGACCCATTGCCTGCAGGTGCTCCACTCTCAGCCCCGTCAGGGGAAGAGGAGGTTGCCTCTGGGTCCGGTAACCCTCCAGCCTCTCCTGAGCTGCAGAGGCTCAGGGCAGAGAGGCGGAGGGAACTAAGTTCCTGCAGGAGGAGTGCTCGCCTCCAGGCCAGGAGGGGCGAGTCACCTGTGGACTGGGGCCGCCCTATGTCTCGGGGCAGATAAAAGCCAGCCAGCCCCAGCCCCCGGTTGCAGGAGCAACATTGTTGGTAGCCTGTTCCTGCCTGCACCCTGTCCTGCTCTTCTGCCAGAGTTCCTGACCCCACCTGACTCCCTGCTTTGGACCAAGCTACAGCTTGGATGGACAGCCTCCAAAGACCTCGGACTGGACTCAGACCTCGCCTCTCGGTTAGCCCCCAGGACCAGCACAGACAGCAACTGGGATGGCTTTCAAAGAGGATTAGAAAAATTTTAAAAGAGGAGGAGGAGGAGGAGGAGGAGGAGGAGGAGGAGGAGGAGGAGGAGAGGGCTATTGATGGCTACCAGTCACCAATGTTATGCTTTCCCTACACAATTGGGGCCAGCAATGCTTCTGAACATTAGCCGCTGGAAACCACAGGTTGGAAGAGATGTCTTGGGCCTGATCCAGCCGGCTCTTCTCATGTTCTTATGGAAGAAGAAGGTTGGATTTCATCAGAGAGGACAGGGAGTGACAGGGAGCAGAAAGAGGAGACTTGGTCAAAATAGTGGGGAGGGGGGAAGAATCTTTTAGCATTTCCTATTTCAAAATCCTAATTGAATTTCTTATGCCTCATTCACCCGAATGTCCCAGGCCAGGCTACAGCAATTAAAGAATGTTAGTTCAAACTCTTATTTCTTTAGGAATCCACATATTTCTGAAATTATCTATGAAAATGTCTCATTTCAGATTTCAAAGCTTCCTCCAAGATGTCCAGTATCAGCCCCTCTCTGCTGCAGCAATTGCCACCCATGGATGGAACTGTTACTATTACTGTCATAACCCCAACAGGAAGCTACGTTATCCGGGTTTAACCTCTTCCTCTCTGAGTATTCCCTTCTGCTGCCTCCTTGGACGCTCCAGGTGACCTCATGTTCTGAAGAGAAGGCAGAGTTTCAGTGTCACTCACAATATGGACCCAACTGAGAATCGTCCACATTCCCCATCCTAAAGGGAAGCTCCAAGCGGAAAACTGAGATGACAAACCTGGATATGATTTGCTTTCTTTTCAGGGCAGGAAGTCAGGAATGATGAGCATCCGGGATCCAAAGCAAAGATGGTCTCAGGTGCTCATCTTTTCTGACACCTGCAGCTGCCAATGTCTCACCTTTGCTCAGTTGCCCTTGACTGTTCCTTTGCACATCTCCCTTCTTCCTCTGCTATCTCTCCTCCATTTATGCCCAGCAACCCTCCGTTCTCTGAGTCTGAATAAGGAGAGCCTCAGGATCTGAACATCTTCCAGTGAGTTCCTAACTGGGAACTTTTTAGCCATCTGGGCCGGGACAAAGGGAAAGTCTGGGGAGAACCAACCACCAGTCTTCCTTCCTTCCTTCCTTCCTTCCTTCCTTCCTTCCTTCCTTCCTTCCTTCCATGTGCTTGACCACCTCTCTTTAGAGATATTTTGTTTCTCAGAATCTGATCTTCAATGGCTCCCAGTACGTTTCTGAGCACAATTCAAAGTGTTGGTGCTGACCTTTAAAGCCCTAAACGGCCTCAGCCCAGTATACCTGAAGGAGCGTCTCCACCCCCATCATTCTGCCCAGACACTGAGGTCCAGCGCTGAGGGCCTTCTGGCAGTTCCCTCACTACGAGAAGCGAGGTTACAGGGCATCAGGCTGAGTGCCTTCTCGGTAGTGGCACCCGCCCTGTGGAATGCCCTCCCACCAGATGTCAAGGCAATAAGCAAGTGTTTTACTTTTAAAAGACAACTGAAGGCGGCCCTCTTTAGGGAAGTTTTTAATGTCTGGCGCTGTATTGTTTTTATTATTTGGTTGGGAGCCGCCCAGAGTGGCTGGGAAAACCCAGCCAGATGGGCGGGGTATAAATAATATATTATTATTATTATTATTATTATTATTATTATTATTATTATTATTCTGTATCATCTGAATAGTGAATGTGCTCTTTACTCAGAATGGGATCTATTTTTCTTTCTTTTTTTTTATAATTGATATTTATTAAGTTTTCAAAGAATAACAACAAAAATTTCCAAAAAAAATTTGAGGATACAAAAAACAAAAATAGTACATAAACAAAAAAGAAAAGAAAACCCAGCCGCAAAGAAAAAAAAAGAGAAACAGAAAAACAAAAATATAAAGTCCTTTACAATCTCTATTGACTTCCTTTCTAGACTTCCTCCTCCTCCCTCTTTTGTTTCTTAATTTTTAATTTTTACAGCAAATCCTTTCTGTTTTTTCATAACAATCTGTCATTACGTTTCCTTATTCTATTTTCCCTCTTGTCATATAAAAACTTTAAGACTCATAGCTTATATTCAATATTTACCAAATTCTTGCATCATTACCTTTTTACGAATCATTTAGCAATCCTTACTTAAGCCATGTAATTTAATTCAACATCCTTCAAACATTTGTAAGCATTCCCAATATTAAAAAATAAAATAGAAAAAATAATAAGTCAATCAGTCCAGTCAGCTTCCAACCTCCCCTCCCCTGGACCCGGGATTGTCAGTCCTTTTAACCTCGATAATCCGGCTCCTTAACCTGGTTGTCTCGTATCCGAGGCCCTCAAGTCTCTTTCTTGCCCCTTTCGCCACTCTTGTTGATGATTCCTTTCCAGTCGTGGATGCTCCAGCAAGAAAATGCTTTTGACCCTTTGCAGCAAGTCCATCCCAAACCCATTGCCCAAGCCAGACAGCAAATAATACCACTTCAAATTTCCACAAAGCTTGGAGACTTCGGCTACTCCAATCCTCTGATAGCCCATCACCAGACTCGGAAGGTCCAAATAACCATATGGAGGGGGTCGATCCATCCCCCATTTCCAAATCTGACCACATTTCATCTTTCCGAATCTGGTTTGTCCTAAGTTCATTTATCAAGTTCAAAGGCTGATCTTGCCCGTCCAAAGGTCCCTCCATCTCTGAAGCCTCCGTCACTACAGCAGGTTCATATGCTTGTATAGCCTTTAACTGAATTTCATTTGTTTGCTGCTGTGCTCTGGTAACTTCCATCATCAAGGTCGTCTCCTGACGCATCTGGTCCAGCTGGGCACTTAGTTTGAAAAACCTTCCAGGAACAATTGTTCAAGCCTTTGTACTAGCATTGTCCTTCAAGGTCAAAGAAAGTTCTTTCCCACGACAATAGTCCAATAGTCCTTCTCTTTTAATCTCTCTGCGTTGTAATTTCACTAAATTCCACTAGATGGAAATTTTTTTTTTTTAAAAGGAATAAAAGCAACAGCAACAATCTTTCTTTTTCCAGAAACACTTTATCCAAAATTCCCTTCCAAATTCAAGAGGCAACAGTAGAATCAAAATGTTACCCTTCTTTTAACTAACTGTCGAGCTGGATAAACTTCAGAACGTCAATTCTGACAGCCCGCTCCTGGTTCAGGGCGGTGGAAAATTGCTTTATTTTAAACTCACTTCCGCAGGATTGAAAAGTCCAAATACAACCCCTTCTTCTCCTGCAGTCAAAGGGGGTTCAGAAATCTTAGATGTTGAATTCTAGTTCTCTTAGAATTTAATTTTCAAGCTTTAGTATATTTTGTCTTTGCTTTCTTCACATAACAAAAGAACGGAAGGCGACTTCCTGTTTAGACCTTCCCATTCCGAGTCCCAATTAAGTTCAATTTCAAGTCCAATATTATTTGTTTATTCACCAGTCTTAAAAGTGGTTCAACTCTTCCAAGATCAGGTACTCACGGATAGATATTTTAGATGCCAAATTGTCCAGGAAAAGGCAGCGCTCTCCGATAACGGCAGTGCGGCTTTGCTGCACGGAGGAAGCAGACGACTCACAGCACCACGCACCTCCCACTCCGGAGCCCGCTACCGGGCTCCTGTACAAGGGGAGAGAGCGCTCTCGGTGCCCGCCGAGTCCCACGTCCACAGGCTTCTTCCGCCTGTGGTTTTTGCGGGTCCCCGCTGCGCCGTAGCGGCAGGACCCAAGCCTCCGTGCAGCGGGTTGGGATCTATTTTTCTTCTCCCGCTTAAACTGCTGACCACAGAGAAGGTTCCCTCTTTCTTCTCCTCTATTAAAGCTTCACTGTAGCATCACAGATGTGTCTTGTCTTCTGCCTTCCTGGAACTTGGTCCACTGTTGCCAAAACCCCCAAAGCCTCACCCCAAACCCGTGTCCTGTGACGTGTGAATGACCCGTGTCCTGACCCCCCATCAGTGATATCCCCAAAGATAAACTCTCAGGAAGTCCATGCCAAGCCGGCAGCGCTTGAGATGAAGGAGGAATTCCCAGCCACCGTTTGTGCCATTCCGGGCTCTGCAGTCCTGTCGAGTTCAACCCAAAGAGTACTTTTAACCTCAACTAGGAATCAGGCAGAAGGTCATTTCAGTTTGTATTTAAAAGCGAATCTATCTAACTCACAGCCACCCTCCAGAATTTGCACTTATTTGAATCTGTGATGCAGTTCCCCATCCAAACATTATTTATTAAAAAAGAGCATCTGTTAAGGGATAAGTGGGCACAACAATGAATTTATTAGTGCAGATTTGCAGATTAGTTGCGTTGCAGAATAATTATAATTATAATTTTTTATTTATATCCCGCCCCCAGCCGAAGCCGGGCTCAGGGCGGCTAACAACAATAAAACAATACAACATTCTAAAGTCATTTCATTAAAAAATTACTTCAAATCAAATTGATTAATTCAAGGGTATTCCGTTAAAGGAATCCGGGGGGCGTGGTCTCCACCTGAAGCCCCAGACGGGGGGCTAGGGCCATGGCATGACCCCTAGCGGTGACCCTGGACCAGTAGGGCTCCCCCTACTGGAGGTCAACCCCTCCAAGACTCCTGCAGACAGGCAGGAATCAGATATAGTCGTGTGGTTTCCAATGCCTAAGCCAATACCACTCACATTCTGTAACCAATAAAGTTGTGGCCTTTTTCTCCCATTAACCAAAAATACTGTTTCATGTGTCTTTATTCCACTTCCCGGGAGAGTCTGGGACCTTGCCGCGCAAACCCAGTGTGCATTTCAGAGGGTAGTGTGTTTCAGTTCTGATATCATTTTGGAAAATATGAGTTTCATAGATTCACCTTGAAATGCAAGCTAAATTGATCCACCCCTTCATCCCTGGCAAGGGCAGAAAGTATTCTCAGAAGAGTCCTCTTTCTCTTGATTTCATCAGGACTGGACACACTGGAACTTTGAGACTGGCCAGTGGCATTTCACGAAATCAGGAGCAAGACATAGGAAGCTTTGAGAAAAAACACGCAAGAGGCCTCTGTGATGAAGCAGTGAAGCTTTAATGGATAGGAAGGAAGGAGGGAACATTCTCTGGGATCAACAGTTCAGGTAGGAGAAGAGAAACAAATACACTCCAAACTAAGGAAGGGGAAATTCCACATTCAAAGGGGGGATATGCGGGGAAACCAATGAACCCATAAATGGAGGTGGTTGTATTGGGAAAGTGGAAGGCTGGAAGCTTCTCCCCAGACCTTCCCTTTAGCCCAGCTGGCTGAAAAGGCAGACCTCGGGAGTCCCCTGATTCTGACTCATCAAACGGACGAAGGCTTGGCATCAGCACAGGGAACATACACAGGCAGCAGAGGAAGAATGACCAAGTCATGTGTTGCAGAGGAAAGTTTCAACATGGCAGCCCTGGACATCAGAAAAGATGGATCTGGATCATGGATGCTGAGCATTTCTGACTTTTTGGCCCCTGAGATCACAATCTCTATCCAGGTTTGCCACATTACATTTCAGATTGGGGCGCTTCTTTTAGGATAAATATTTTGGACTCTTTACAGTAGGGTCTGCAAAATCAGGTATAGGAATTTTTCTCAAAACATGAGTAGCCCTTGTAGTATTCCAGAAGTGAATCTTTATCCACAAGGAACACAAATTAACGCAGAGGCTGATGGTCCGGTCAAGATCACTGAAACAGGAAAAACTTCTGTATATACTTCTAGATATACTTTTTAACAGAAACCTTAGCTAAAATCTTGCATGGTTCTTGTATGCTCTTGTATATTCATTTTTATACACACTGTCTCATAAGAAACACATTTTTAAATCGTTGCAGTGCAGAATCATAGAATTGTTGAATCATAGAGTTGGAATTACCCCAAGGGTTATCCAGTCCAACCCTGGAAAAGCAGGAATCTCAACTATGGCAGAGGCCATTCTGAGGAGATTTCACCCCTCCCATTCCAAGAATCTGCTGATGTTCTCTGCTGATTCTCCAGAGAGGAGGGGGGCGGTTTCTGCTCACTACTTATTCCGCTCCAGCCTCACATCAATTAGAGAGACTGAGTGTTAGAGAGAGAGAGAGTGTTATCTCTGTATAGATAAGGTTGCTGCTAAGAGCAGCTGCAGACACTCAGTGCAGTTCAGCTTCTCCATTTAGCTCTGTATATAGTTTGTATGATAGTTGTAGATAGAATAAAAGTAGTTATTCTACAGAGCTGTTCTCCGAGTGGTTTATGCTCTGCTGTACTCTGCTGTGCAACGACTGTCTTCGGTAGTGAATCTGGTGCTCACTGCTCTGAGTTGGGTGCTCCACAGCTCCACAGCACTTTGACCTGTTCCTGTGCAGAAGGTGGTCTCTGGAAGTGCTACCCCAGCTTGCCTGGCCCAGTCAGGCTGAAGTGGATGAGTCCAGTCGTGGGCACTGGCTCAAGGGCGATCCTGACACATTAAACCTCTGTTTAAAATTCTCCAACGAAGCAGAGTCCACAACCTTCTGAGGGTGTTTGGTCCACTGTCGAAAACCTCTTACATTGGGAAGTAGAACTGGGCCCGAAAACCTGTAAAAAATGGACTTGGCCAACCAGGGCGTAGTATTATGGGAATCATAAGACTTGCTCCAATGTTGGCACTGGACATCTTGGAGGAATGTTGGAGTATCTGTAATAAATCATTTTAAAGACATATGTTCACAAATATGTGGAAACAGAGGGAAATTAGTCATTAGCCTTCTGATTGCCGAACAGATGAAAATGTATTTAACTGTTGGGCATTACTTTAAGCAAGGGCTGGTAATCTCCCCAAGACTTAAAAGTATTATTATTATTGGTATTAAAGCCCAGCTCTCTGTGCCTGTTCTCCTTCTCTCCCTGTCCGTGCTGAAATCCAGCGTTCTTCTCAGGCTGAGCATGCAAGAAGCTTCCTCTTCCTTTAGACCATCAAGAAGAGCGTTGACCCACAATCACTTCCTACCTTCCCTGCTCTGCAAATCAATTTATTTAAAAGGAACTTACCAAAAGCTGAAGAAGCTGAGCAGCCGAAGAGGAGATCTTCAAAAGCACTGGTGGAAAAGCCCTACGCGCTGTGCCCTTTTATGCAGTTTCTCTCTGCACTTGGAGCAAATACTTTGCCGCAGCATAATTTGGCTAAGTGTAGTCCACCTCCACTTTTTTGCCAGACTGCCCACTGGGACTCCATCCGACTCTAAGGTTATGTGTTCCAAGATGTTATTGGTCATGCCAGCCTCCTGCTTTGCTTTCTTTTGACTCGGCTTCAATTTACACCTACGAACACACTGGATGTTGCAATCGCAGGTGAAGCACATATTCTGCCACAAAAGACTCTGGTCCCTATAGATGGCTAAGGGTGCTGGGAATCATAGCTCTGTGAGAGGTGAGCTACATTTACCAGAATTCTTTGGAGGACAATGTTCCATGATTCCTGGGACTGTCAACGTTTGAGGCCCTTAGGCTGTTACAATGACCCTGTAATTGTTTGCAGCAGAGATTATTGGTGAGCAGGCCTTTGAGTAGATAGAGAGGGAAGGACTTTATTTAAATGAGAGGGGCCAGGATTACTTCTTGTCACTGTACTCCTGGCTGCTTGGACACTTCAGCTCACTTGTGTCACCTTCCTCTTGTCAGACCTTCACAGGGGGCACCCTCTCAGACCAACTCAGCCACTGGCTCCCTTCCTCTGATCTTATCCAAATGAGTATGAACAAACGGGGTCTCCAAATGGTTTGTTTCCTCCAGTTTTTCCTTGTCTCCTCCTCCCTGACTCCTCTCAGCTGACTCTCCCCCCTAGTACCTGCAACCTCCGGCCAATCAGGGCCTGTGGTACATCAGGATAGCCAGAGAGAGGGGAGACTGTGCCACACAGAAAATGGGACCCAGAGTTAGTTTTGAAGGCAAAGGAGCATTTGAGTACAGAGCTGAGTTTAGGACTGAGTTTTTGCAGAAAGGTTGCGGCCTGTAAGATGTAGCAAGCTGGACCCAGGGTCAGAGCCACACTTGGGCTCAGGTGGTATATATGTGCAAAGAAACCATATGTCATAAAGACACTGCAGTCCCCACTGTCCCTCGTTTCCAAAGGAAACACAGTCCCTGGTTCAGCACTTGTACCCCTTTGAATCTGGCACTGCTCAGAGATTGAAGTGGCATGCAACAATATTCAGGTGAGCCCTGCATATACGCAATTCCTTTGTCTGGTGCAGAAAGCAGGAATTTAGCCATACAGGTAGAGGTGCTCCTGTCTGGGATGTTTCCCAGTCCTCAGGTGGGTTTCGAAGCTGAGAGGATTCAATGGGAATAAATGAAGTTGGCAGCAGCTGACTGACATATCAGTAGAAGGATTCCAGACTCTCCATCTCCCAGAACCTGGTGAGCCTTAAAAGTTAGGAGAGGTAATGTGTTCCAAGAAGTTATTGGTCCTGCCAGCCTCCTCCTTCGCTCAAGACGCTGCTTTGCTTTCTTTTGACTCGGCTTCAATTTGCACCTACAAACACACTTGGTATTACAATCACAGGTGAAGAACATTTTCTGCCTTAAAAGACTCCGGTCCCTATAGCTGGCTAAGGGTGCTGGGAATCATAGCTCTGTGAGGGGGGAGCTACATTTCCCAGAATTCTTTGGGAGGACAATGTTTCATGATTCCTGGTACTGTCAACCTTTCAAGGCCTTTATGCTGTTACATTTGTAGCAGAGATTATTGGTGAGTAGGCCTTTGAGTAGATAGAGAGGGAAGGACTTTATTTAAATGAGAGGGGCCTGGATTCCTTCTTGTCACGGTAATCCTGGCTGCCTGGACACTTCAGCTCACTTGGGTCACCTTCCTCTTGTCAGACCTTCACAGGGGGGCACCCTCTCAGACAAACACAGCCCCTGGCTCCCTTCTTCTGATCTTCCCCAAATGAGTATAAATAACTAATGGGGTCTTCAAATCCTGGTCTGTTTCCTCCAGTTTTTCCTGGTCTCTTCCTCCCTGCACCTTCCTCACCGACTTCCTTTATTCCCACAGACTCCTCTCAGCTGACTCTGCCCCCAAGTACATGGAACTTTCAGCCAAACAGGGTCTGTGGTCACAAAGAGCAATGAAGATCCACGTACCTGATTCTGGCCCTGCTTAATCAATTCTCAGTGCATTTCTCTCTCCCTGCATTCACAGGACCTCTCACCAAGGACTTCTACTGCTCACAATTGCACACAATAGTACCGGTGGTCACACAACATTTTGCCCTCACAATGCTGCCGTTCCCAACATCCCTAAGAGTCTACAGTGCCCAGAGTTCTATGAAGGGGAAAAGATGCTTCAGATGTGTTTTAAAGAAGTCGTCCGTATGTAGGTTATGCTCCACAGATGATGCTTCTGAAGCCTGAAGGAGTGAAGAGAACACCCTGAACGCCATTAAAATGAACACAGAGAACATCATCCGAGGTGAAGCTGAGCCCAAATTAAGCAAAGCAGCTTCCCGAGCTGGCCTGCAAGATACCTTTCGGAACATAGTATGGGAAGGTTGAATATTGTCCTGGTCTTGTGGTAACATCTTAGGAATGCTTGTCCCTTCAACCTGTTAATTTTAGATATCCCAGTTTCTCACTGTTTCCAAATGTAAATTCAGCTCTCTTCGTGTCTGCAGCAGTTTGTGATTTATTTATTTCTTAAGCCTTGTGGAAATTCATAAGCATCAGTGAAAAATTCTCCCAATTCCCCACATTTCAGCATGGAATTTTGCAATCAAAGTCCACCGATATAATCCACACTTGTATGTTAAGCTAATTCACTAATCTCTTCATTTTATGCACTCTTTCATCTTGACATATGGGTTTTTCTTTCCTTCAAAATATTGCTTGCTTGGGGAACAGCATCACACCTTCATACAAGTGTGTATTTCGAAGGGTGCTGTGTTTTGACTGTTATGTCAATTTGCAAATTGTGAATTGGAAAGATTCTCTTTTAAATGCAAACTAAAATCAATGCCTCCAACCCCATTCCTGGCAAGGGTAAAAAGTACTCTCAGAAGAGTCCTCTTTCTGCTGACTTCATCCCGACTGGACACCTTGGAACTGCAGAAACAGCTTCCAAGGAGTAGCCGGGAATCCCTCCTTCCGCCCGAGCGGTGCCTGTCTTGGCAGGGACTTTCAGGCAGGAGAAGCTAATAGGGGTCAGCACAGATGGGTGTCAGACAGGATCAGACACATATCAAGGAAACATATTTGCGATTGCCAGTTGCCCTTCATGAAAGGTGAGCTGAGAACCAGTAAAGCAGGAGAAAAACACGCAAGAGGCCTCTGTGATACTGCAGTGAAGTTTTAATGGCTAGCAAGGAAGGAGGGAACATTCTCTGGGATCAACAGGTCGAGCAGGAGAAGAGATTCAACATTAAGAGATTAAAGGAAAGCAAAACACTCATAAAAGTGTTCACAGGCGGCCAAAAAGGCCCCAGGCAAGAGCCTCGATGTGCAGATCTTCTGCCAATTCTGACTCAGTGAACTGAGACTTGCTTGGCAGAAATGGAGGACAGATACACTCAGCAGAGGAGGAAGGAAGATTTGCAAGGGGAAAGAATGTGTTACAGAACAAAGATGACATGTTGGCAGCCGTGGATAGTTTGCGTAGTGGGCACTCAGCATTTCGGACTTCCTGGCCCTCAAGAGCACAAACCATACGCAGGTTGCTTGACTTTGGGGCTTTGCATTAGGATCAGAAAAGCAGGCGATTCTCAATAGGGCACATCTGGTGAGTGACGTGACTGCCATGCATTCTGTTCAAAACGTGAGACCATCCAAAGTATCAAAGGAAGCAGCAGAAGTGAATCCTCAACGAGGTAATTGTGGCAGCTTGACACTGAATCTGAATTTTTTTACTATAGCTATAATATCCTCTATTCGGGGGGGTTCCTCTGGCATCTCCGAAGAGGGAGTTCCATTGTTGACACTGGACATCTTGCAAGAATCTTGGATACTCTGAAATGATACGTTTTCAAGGATACTTTCAGAAACATGTGAAAACAGGGGAAATCAGACATTATCTCTCAGATAACCAGAGAAATATTTGTCAGACAGGGAGGAGGCACTTCCTCTTACATTTCAGCTTTTATATTGAGATTTCTTTATGATGACTTAAAGAATGCATCTCCAGGAAGGAGACAGTTCAGATAACGAGAGATATAAAAGATTAATTTAATGTTGATTTTTAATTGTTGCAAGCAGGCCTGGGACAGTAAAGTGAATGATGTAAAACATTAAAATAGTGATTTTTAAAATGGAAAAGTCTCAATGATTCCCACCCCCATTTGACAGGTTGTGTCTCTCTGAGCCTTCTCCCTCTCCCTCTGAAATTTGAGAGACTTCTCTCACACTCTGGCCCTGCAGGATCCTTCTCCTTCTGGGGTCAGACTGTTGGTCCCCCTAGTTGAGTGTTGTTTCTACAGCAGGGATGGGGACGGATAGCCTTCCAGAGCTTGTGGAACTACAACTCCCAGCAGCCCTAGCAGCCAACATTGGCCAAGGCCAGAGGGGGTGGGAGTTGTTTTACATCTGGAGGACCACAGGTTCCCCAGCCCTGCTAAGCTGTGAGTGGGATTGACGTCCCAGGAGCTCAGCTGAGCCTCTTTCCCTGTCGGACCTGCCTCACCCAAGAAAAGGCAAGTGCTTGTGGAGCAAAGCAGCCCTGCCTAAAGTGCTCCTCAGTCCTCCCATTGAGACGCAATGTGGGCATATCCTGTGACAATGGCACAGCACCTTTCTCAGAAGAAGATGAGGATGGGGCACTGGCCTGAGATTCCCAGAGGAAGGAAAATGGGTCCAGGGATCTTCCCATTACACAGAGCTGCTCTTTCAAACAAAGCACAACCAGATCCAGAACAGGACATCTTTCCCTTGCCAGTTCTGATCTCTTAGGAGAAAGAGACTCCCCTTTTCACCCTCTTCTAACTCCATCCCAGAGAGTGCCCAGCTCCACATTTCAGAAGTCCTATTAGAAGTGGGATTTCTGTTTGAGCCCAAATCAATTCCAGTGGCACAGGGAATTGCAAGTAAAGACCTGAAGGTCTCTTCCCAAATCTGATTTCCATGTGAAACTAAGCAGGAAGGCATGTTGAAAAAAGCCCCAGTAAATAACTGCCCCATAGTCAATCTGTTGCAAACTTCTTTGCTCTAGTAATCAATTTACTTAAAAGGAGCTTACCAAAAGCTGAAGAAGCTGAGCAGCCGAAGAGAGGAGATCTTCAAAAGCACTGGTGGAAAAGCCCTACGCGCTGAGCCCTTTTATACAGTTTCTCTCTGCACCTGCAGCGAATACTTTTGTGCAGCATCACTAATTTGGCTAAGTATAGCCCACCTCCACCTTTTGGCCAGACTGTCCCTAGCCATTGGAACTCCATCCGACTGCAATGTAATCTGTTCCAATAAGTTATTGGTCTTGTCAGCCTCCTGCTTGGCTTTCTCTTGACGCAGCTTCAATTTGGGTGATGTTCATTGTGTTCCTTTTAATGTAATTTGGGGCATTTACTTGACTCAGCCCCGCTTACGCCTCTGCACCTATGAACACACTCGTTGTCGCAATCGCATATGAAGCCCATTTTCTGCCTCATAGGACTCTGTACCTATAGATGGCTACGGGTGCTGGGAATCATAGCTCTGTGAGGCGTAAGCTACATCTCCCAGATTTCCTTGGGAGGAAAACGTTCTGTGATTTCCGCTATGAGCTGTGATTAGCCAAATTAGTGGTGCTTAAGCAAGATATTCGCTTCAGCTGCAGAGAGAAACTGCGTAAAAGGGCTCAGCGCGTAGGGCTTTTCCACCAGGGCTTTTGAAGATCTCCGCTCTTTGGATGCTCAGCTTCTTTAGCTTTTGGTAAGCTCCTTTTAAGTAAATTGATTACTAGAGCAAAGAAGTTTGCAGCTGATTGTTTATGGGGCAGTTATTTGGACAGAAGGGACTTCTTCACCCAGAACAGAGTCATACTGTGCCAGTCTCTCCCATGGTCACACGACATTTTGCCCTCACAGTGCTGCCGTTCCCAACACCCCTAAGAGTCTACAGTGCCCAGAGTTCTATGAAGGGGAAAAGATGCTTCAGATGTGTTTAAAAGAAGTCGTCCGTATGTAGGTTATGCTCCACAGATGATGCTTCTGAAGCCTGAAGGAGTGAAGAGAACACCCTGAATACCATTAAAAGGAACACAGAGAACATCATCCGAGGTGAAGCTGAGCCCAAATGAAGCAAAGCAGCTTCCCGAGCCAAGGTGTAACCTGACAAGCAAGATACCTTTTGGGACATAGTATGTGGAGGTTGAATGTTGTCCTGGTCTTCTGGTAACAGTTTAGGAATGCTTGTCCCTTCAACCTCTCAATTTTAGATATCCCAGTTTCTCACTGTTTCCAAATGTAAATTCAGCTCTCTTCGTGTCTGCAGCAGTTTGTGATTTATTTATTTCTTAAGCCTTGTGAAAATTCATAAGCATCAGTGAAAAATTCTCCCAATTCCCCACATTTCAGCATGGAATTTTGCAATCAGAATCCACTGATCTAATCCACATTTGTACGTTAAACTAATTCACTAATCTCTTCATTTTATCCACTCTTTCATCTTTACATATGGGTCAAATATTCAAACTCAAAGCTGAAGAAGCTGAGCAGCCGAAGAGAGGAGATCTTCAAAAGCGCTCGTGGAAAAGCCCTACGCGCTGAGCCCTTTTATGCAGGTTCTCTCTGCACCTGCAGCAAAAATCTTGCTTCAGCACCACTAATTTGGCTAATTAATTCTACGAGCTAAGATATTTGTTCCAAGTGCAGAGAGAAACTGTCTGCCTCTGAGCTGTCACCTCCCGCAAACCCCTGTTGTAAAACTAGACCATCTTCCTCTTCCTTCTCCCTGGAAGGGTCACGATGGGGAGGCCGTCTCTACCACTCCTCCCCCTCCTCTGCCCAGTCCCTGCTGCTTCAATGGATCCTCACGATGTCCTCATATTCTGCAGAGGTGGCAGTTTCAATATCACTCACAATATGGACCTTACTGAGAATCGCCCACATTCCCCGTCCCTTTACTGTTTTCTTGCCCATCTTCCTCTGCTATCTCTCCTCCATTTATGCCCAGCAACCCTCAGTTCTCTGAGTCTGAATAAGGAGAACCTCAGGATCTGCACATCTTCCAGGGAGTTCCTAACTGAGAACTTCTTAGCCAGCTGGGCCAGGACAAAAGGGAGGTCTAAAGAAAACCAACTTCTTTCCTTCCTTCCTTGTGCTTGTCCAATACGAACCCCTCTCTTCTCATAATCGGCATCATCTCAATAGTGAATGTGCTCTTTACTCGGAATGGGATCTTTTTATTTT